CCTGTTTCACCACTGAGGCCATACCATGTGGCTGAATATGTTGATAGATTTGACCAACTCCAGAGAAATCTTGGGTTGAGTTTAACAAAATCCCCACCTTGAACCCAAATAAACTTGCCAGTTTACTAGATGTATGTTCAGAATTTATTTGGCCTGTATCTTTCTGATGATGTTGGTGATTTAATTTGGTCAGAGATCCCAAATAACATTGCATAGATAAAATCTGTTTAGTAAAACTTGTTAATATCAAAGTTGTAGCAGTGAGTAATTAAAATTAGAATATCCGTTATCATTTGTTAAGTGGTGCACAACATATTTTTGTAGTAAGGGTTGTTGCTGATTGAAAACAGGATGGCACTGATTAATAATACGAACTGTAACATATTTTCTTAAATCTGAATGCATGTTTTACTATATGTATTTTAATTTTATGTAATTTATTTTTATATATGTATATAACACTATTATCTTCATAGATTAACTTTATTTTGTAATGCAGCAAGTGCCATCTTTATAAATAGAGGAACATATATTAATTTTCCCCTTTTAAATTTCTTCACAAAACATTTTTGTTATAATTTGTGAGCACTGTCTGCACATAGATTTTCAGTTCTGAGAACATTCAGTATGAGTATGTGAGATTATATCACATTGTATGTCACCATTTCATTTGCCATACTGCACTCTTGACATACAAGGGCAGTTCAAATCTGACCCAGAATTTGAATTGTTTCTCATGAATAATACTGTAGATTAATATAATTGTTGAACATTAATTCCATGAGATGGGACAAGTGTGTACTTCAGAAAGACTGCATGATTTGAAACTTTTAACAAAATTCTGGATAAAATTTTTCCATGAGATGGGACAAGTGTGTACTTTAGAAAGACTGCATGATTTGAAACTTTGAACAAAATTCTGGATAAAATTCGAACCTCCTAAATATTTGTTTTCAGGACCATAAGTTTATCAACAAACAGTCATTTCAGTAATAAACCACAATTAAAAAATTCATTTTAACATTTAAAAGAGAATTTTTACTGTACATTTTCATAGGTGACACTCCATGTTAGGCTTGAAATTAAACACAAAACCTTATATTCTCATGTATAGTTTTTTCAAGAGAGGTGCCTTTGTAACCTTAAGTGCATGTTTTGCATTTCATGAAGTTTGCTACCTAACTCGTAGTGATATATGTTTGTGAACACTTTAACAGATTAGCATTAGCAAGTCACCGTGGATTAAATTGTCTTTGTACATTAGCCAAGAGAGCATTTGGAAGATGCATTATACACATTCACACACAAATGTAAGTAGTTATTCCAAAAAGAGTGAATGCTATGAATTAGTGGTTCGCAAATGGTGTCAGAACACTTTTAAATATGAACTCGGTAAACTTGAGTGGAGAATTAAGTGGAGTATTCACTCTTCTGTGCTCACATATTAACGAAAATGTTACATTATAGCTTTGTTTCTTCTTGGAGAGTACCGGGAGTTGTGCAGCCCTGTTACTGGCAAGTACTTGGTCATATCTTTTCCATTGTTGTCATTCGAAATCACTATACTGATGGACTAATCATGTGTTGCATGATATGTTTTAAGAAATGGAGTATTCTGTAGAACTGAGCCATGGTCATTAACTTCCTGTTTGGAATAAATTAAGTTTTCATTTATAATTTAATATTAAAGTTAATTTGTCCATGGTGCTTAAGTAAGCCGCACACCATGCAGACAATTGGGTGAATGGAGATATAGCTCCAAATGTTCTTAATCTTGGCACTTGATGGAAGTGAATGGTTAACTAAACACATCAGTGTTTTTCACTTGAGGAGAGAATAGAGTGCTCCAGTATCATTAGGATAGGAGGTTAGATGGGCCCTAGAATTGGTCTGGATGCAGTGGCAATGGGCCCCAGAATTGGTCTGGATGCAGTGGCTAAGAGAAAAATCTGTGCCTCTGCCAGAAATTGAACCCCAAACATCCAACCCATACCCTAGTAGCTATAGTAACTGAGCTGTCCCAGTTCCCTGAGGTCTGAGATAAACTTATTAATCCATGATTATAAAATTTTTAATGACAGGAATCAACAAGAGTGAAGTATTCTTGAATATCATCGTTTTCTGTGATTTTAGGACATTTTATAATCCTGTTATAACTTTAGAGACTCATTAAATAAATCAAACTGAAACTTTAAGAAAATTCAAATAAATTTTGATAGTGACATGCCCTCCACTTCATGTTTTGCACACGCAGAATAATGGGCACAACTCAAAACATGTAACATTTTGTAGTGAAGCAATTTTAAATTTTATAATCTGTATATAAAGAGCTATAAGGGTGTAACTGATATGCAGCTGAATGGATAGAAACTACAGCTGTGGCCTTATTATACTGTTAAAAGCAACTTCAGCTTTCAAATAGTACCTTTTTTAATTATGGTCCTGTTATTCTGTGTGTATGAATTGTGTTAATTGTACCATCATGTCTCAGTTGTCTGACCTGTCTTTGTAAGAATTTGGTTCACGGTATGAAGGTGAGGTTGAAATTAAAGTAGGAATGGCTTGCAGAGATGTGTGTGTGTGTGTCTCCTCTCTCTCTCTCTCTCTCTCCCATCCCTCCCTCTCTCCTCTCCCCTCCCCCCATAAAGGAAAAAGTTTTCATAAAATTACAACTACCAATTAGACAGTAGCCATATTATTACTTTTATGTGAAAATATGAAAAGGTTGTTTAAAATATGTTTAATTATTTATTGTATCATATATTTATAAAGTATTCATAACACTTGCAAAAAAACAACTTATTTTGAGTTTGATAAATTTTGCATTCTGTACAGATATTTTTAAATCTCATAACATACTTGTGTTTAGAAACTGCCTGCCCAAAAGGCGTACAAAATTGTCTAATACATTAACCTCTCCCATTAATTTCCACATCAATAAGAATACCAAGATATATATGTAAGTATACAGTTGTGTAGAATTTTGTTTGAATAGAATGGACTATTTTTTTATGTCTCCCTTATCACAAAATTAATTTTAAAAAATTACAGTTAACGAAACAGGATTGTTGTTTAAATTGATAATTTTACATAATATGTAAGTACTTTGGAACCATGTATAATTTCACTGTACTTTATTTTTATTGTGTAGTGCTAGAAATGTTCTCTGTCTGTTACTGCAGTATGTACGCATTGTGTCATTCCAGTGTGTTTCATATTGATCAGGAAGAACTTTCTAGTCATGAGACCTGATTAGGATAAGAATACCAGTAATCTGAAGTTCAGGGTACAATGACTTTTGAACAACATTTTATGTCACTCATTGTGGGCTAACGGCAACAGTCCTCCACGTTAAAACACGCCATGTGAAACAGAGGTTCTTGCCAAATATGAAGTTACTGGTAGATTGGTAAGTTTGTAGTCAATTTATGTGCAGCAACGTCAAGTGATAGAAATCTGAGCTTAGAACTTATGTGACCTAATTTTTTATAATGTTATTTTCTCCACTCTAGAAATAATGGTTGTATCTCCGTGGCTTTTGCCACATGTTGTGATAAGTTTCACCACCTGACGTTAAGGTTGGCAATGATGTAGGAGAGGCTTAATGAACAGCATACCCTGACAATGGAGAACTCTGTTATCTGTAGGCAGTATTAAAATCATTAGTCATGTTCATCTCTTTCTTGCAAATTAGGTGTATTAACGCCTGTCTGTTCCTTGACCCTCTAAAGAATAAAACTTATTTGAATGATACAAAAAATATTCCTTTGTCCAAGAAAACACACTAAAACACCATTACACCTTAAATATTTTAATGGTGATTAGAGAAATGTTTTGCTGTTTGTTTCTTGTGTGTGGTCCGATTTGTAAATTCTCTGTATAGATTGTATATGTAATGTGTTGTATTTTTAAGGTTTCAGTATTGAAAGTTAGTGCTGTACGACTAAATTTGAGTGTTATATTTCAGCCTCAAGATACTATTCCGTGTTTTATTGCTTGTTCAACTTGTAAATCGTAAGTTTTAAAAGGGCATGTTATTCTCAAAAGTTTTGCTGATCTAGTTTTGCTATAATATTGTTAGGTCTGGTTAATTCGGTGATGAACCTTTGGGTTCCGTAAGCCATCTAGTTAGTTAGTTGTTATTAGATCTGATTTTACATTAGTGATTCCTACATTTCTTTATTCACTTACAACCAAAATATCCTTTGTGATGTATGTAAGATGTATATATATGAATGAAAAATGTACAAATGTGATATTAACAGATTTGAGTGCTTCATTTTGGAATTTCTTCACTCATAGTCCCTCCTTCGGTATACAAGGTCCCCAACATCAAGGCTCTTCAGGTTGTGGGCCAAACAGTATCTTGGATTTCATCATAGGTTCAGCCTTCTTAGTGATTGTAAGGCCATACCTTTTCTTATAATCCTGAAAAGTATCAACATTACCTTACACAGTATGTCTGATTTGGTGATAGACATGTTACCCACTGATGCACTATTTTCTTCCTCAGCATTTAGATTGATAGCTTACCTGTACGGTATTCAGTATTGGATACAGGTAACGCCCTTTCTTTGTAGAATCCTCTATAATTTCATCAATATACTTGAGGAATGCCTTGTCTTCATCATACATATTGAGTGTCTCTCTGAGAGATTTCCCTTCTTCTTCTTCAGAGGCTTTCTGTTTTGCTGCTTGTCTTTCTTTCTATAACATCAGAACAATGTGTTCATTATACACAGAATGAGCATTACTGTCATTCAAAATATAACATAAAGTGATAATTAAATTCACATTTATCTCTAAAGTAATGCTACTGATATAATGGAGATACACTAATGTTTGTCTGCAAATTATGGAACAACAGAACTAAAATTTTTTGTGATTTCCTCATTTCCATTCCTTGTACATGTCTCTCCACTGTTCATTCAGATTCGTTATTGTAACGTAATGGAAGACCCAGGCAAAATGGGAGGTATTAAAATAGATCTTAAAGAAGTAGAATATGAGGGCCTAGGGTAGATTCAGCTAACTAAAGATAGGATCCAGTGGTAGACTTTTGTATGCAGAAATTAATCTGCAGGTGCAATAGTCAGTGTTGGACAGAGATGCATATGCCTGGACCAGCCAGAGAATTCCGCTGTGGCAGAGCATTAATTTGAAACAGCATACATCAATTTCAGTAGTACCACCATCCTTGATAAGGCAATATATGTGGATGTATATATGTATAACATGATAAAGGAGGCCCTCAAGATCAGGCTTTGTCCCAGAAACATTAACAGGGATAGAGGCTTTACTCTCAGTCAGTCCTTGTACTCGGTGAGTAACATGCTGAAGAGATACATATAAAAACACAAACTTACAATCTGTTTTCCATAACTCTTTCGGGTTTCTTCAATGTCTTTAATATTCTTCTCATGTCTCTGTTTGTTGAATTCATGGTTGGCTTCATTCTCCTTCAATCTTTGCATTATTTCCCATTTCTTTAATTCTTGCATGTCTTTCTTAGACTGTTCCTCCCTTGCCAAGAATTCTTTATAAGCCTTTATCCTCTTCTGTTTTAGACATTGCTCATATGCTGATTTCTTCAATTTATTCTTCTCTGCTCTTATTTTCAAAATAATGTATGTTAGTGATATCAGAAATATTATTTGTTATATTATGATATTTGCAAATAAATATCTGCAACAATTTTTAAGTAACAATGGAACCAGTAAAATAAATCACAATTTTTGTACATATACATGAAAAGGAAAGTTATAGATTGTATTTTCCAATTATTTTAACTTTGAATAGGTCACATACAATCAAAATGTATTTCATTTTCTCAAATTAACTGAACTGATTTCAATATAGGAAGGACATGTCAGTTGAGATTATGCTACTGTGTACAGTTTTAACAGATATTTATATTTTGTAGCTTTTAATTAACATGGTGTCTTACATAGCCTCCTTTTCTGCAGTTGCTTTTTTTCTTAATGCATTTTCTTCATCTCCCTTTCTTTGTTTAAGCTGTGCCAAGTAATCTCTGATTTTTTCTTTCTTGTTTAATGATTCATTTAATATCTGCAGAAAAGATGTAACAGCAGTTGCAGTGATTATAAATAAAGATGTAAATGACCAATATTCCAAAAATAAGCTTCCAATATTTAAGTAAATACATGAAGAACTACTGTTACATTTAAAATTGCTTACTTCCTGTTCTTTCTCCTTCCGCATTTGTTCAACCTTTTGTTTTGATCTTCTGTATATTTCGGTAAGCTTTTTCTCTATCTCTTCTGTGTGTTTCTCAGCTTCTTTGAATTCTTTCTGTTTTTCCAAAAAATCCTCGATCTCTTGCCTGAAAATTTCCTTTTTCTTAGCAATCTGAAAGCATAAAATGTGTTTAAACAAAACATTTCACATATTTTTAAAGGTTTTAAATTAGGATATTGTATGTAATTAATCTAACTGTACTTCTATTCCTTAGATTCTAATACATTTCTAAAGAGGCTGACTATTGTTTAATGTTCTGCATTTGGCTTCACCCAATTAAATTTCAGTTGAATGCTGTAATTTACTACTTTGATTTAAATATAATTGCATATTTTTCTCACCTTATTTTCCTTACATTTTTCTTCCATTTCAATTTCTTTTCTTATATTTATCAAATCTTCACTTTCCCGTTGTTTTTCCTTCTCTTCAGAGAGCATCTTATCGGCTTTTTCTTTAATTCTACAGAAAAGACATTACCAAATCATTATTTGTCTTTCTACTTATTGTGACAATTTAAGATGATGAATGGTTAGATAAACCAAGAAACAGCCTATTGATGAATTTGTAAGCAGTACTCTGGACGTGCAACTTAACTTTAGATCAAAACTGTGTATTTTATGAGCCTTGTTTCTGTCTTACTGTGCTAGCAAGTCTTCTTTGTTCTTATTCATCTTTTCAGTCCTCCTCTTCTTTTCTAGTTGTGTCTCTTTCTTATAATCTTCTGCATTTTTTCTACACTTATCTGCATATTCTTGTTCTTTCTTTTCTTCTAGTGCCTTCAGTTTCTTATCAAATTTAATCTGTGCATCTCGTGTTCTCAAGACCTGGAATTCATTATTTTTGTATTCATTATGTGCAAGGGTGATTATATCAAACAAACATTGGAGTGATTAATAAGTTGTTTTCTCTAAACTTTAAAAATTAAGAATTTTTCAGACAATTTCACTATCTACTAAAATCATGTGGCAAACCTACTACACTCTTGTCTTCTTGTACATTAAGTATATACCTCAGAGAATCTTAAACTGTGGTTCAGCATCTTAAAGTTGTCCTTGTTGTAATTCAGGGCTTGTTGACACTTCTGAAGATACTTCCTTTTCTCCGTTTCTTGCTCCTTTCTGAATGTTTTCTGGACATCACTTCCTTTATTCTTAATAGCCTCAAGTCTTGCTTTATTAGCAGCAATCCTTTGTTCTTTCTTTTTCTGAAGAAGGAATTGTTTACATATTTACATTTTACTCCCTGTCTTTACCACAATAACCAGGTGATTCAAAAGCAAAGTGACATAATAGTTTCTTTTCTCAAAGAACATCAGTGATTGAAATTATGGCATAATTAAATGACTCATCATGTAGCATAACTGAGAAATCTACTTTATGAAGTTGAGGCTGTATGATCTTTAATTGTATTTTTAAAAAAAGATATTTTTGAGTTTCACGTTCCCAACATCCAACTGACAGTTTGATATGATTTGCATATGCTGCATTAGCTTAGACATAGTACTCTTTCTTATTGGAAACTAACCACCTATAAAAGATAAGAAAATAAATAACTTCTGTAAAAAATTGGAGTTAGCACTTTATAAGGAGTAGTTATTATGATCTTATGTCCTCTCCTTATGGAAGTTATAATGCCACTCTTCAATGTACCCTTATTGAACCATGTGTTTTCTTACCTGTAATGTATTTTCCCAGTCTTTTATCATAAATCTTGAATATTTTTTTAAATTTTCATGCAGTCTGTGCTGTTGTTCTGCATACTCTGCTTCCTTGTTGAGAAAGTGTTTGTGTCCTCTAATCCTGTACCATTCTGATTTCTCTAACACAAGGGCTTCCTTCTGTTCCCATTCTCCAGTGCTGTAATCTTTTGCTGGGATGTTAATAGATATATAATACATTGTTCTAACACGTTAAGAATTGCAGAATTAAATTTGTATCTGTATCTCTACTTTTCCATTAATTGCTTTGTAATTTCATTACAGAAATCATTGGATGTAAGTAAACAAATGGTGATCAAGGTTACTGTTGCCTGGCAACAAGGTAACACCAACTCAGATAAATAAGAAATCTTATGTCACTGTCAAAGAAAGTGGATTATCGTTAATGTAAATCATTTTAAGATTTGTGCCCGAAATAGCCTGATCTCCTTTTCTGTCAGCAGTCTTCTGTCTCACTTTTGGTTGCTGTATGCAATGTGATATTCAAATCTTGCATACTAAGTATATATTGAATCACATCAACTTTAATCATCGTTTCAATAAAGTTTACCTCAGTTATAAAAATAAATTACTATTGAAAAACCTAACCTGCTCTCTGTTGAGCCGAATGAGACGTATTCTTTTGTATGATGAGTAATTTCTGAGAAAATAAAAAAAATTCTATTTAAGCTTTATGTGATGTAGATGCCTGATATGAAGAAAAAAATAAAAATGTGTTTGTTCATCACAACTTCTTATGTAAGTTCTCACTGTCATTGAAAATGAAACAGTAGTTTTGGTCATGAAACATGGGATGAACAGATGAACATGATTTTCTCATTATGTGTACATGTTAGGTAAAACACACCATTGCTGATTGCATGTTTTTATCAGTGACTTTTGTAGGTGAGATTTCATGTTTTGGCCATGATGAATATGAATAACTTGTCTTCAGGGACAATGTACTGTGTAATTTGGTAGAAATTGACTGACAATCACAGGTACTTACAGTCTCCATCACCATCGCCCTGATGATGGAGGCAGCAATCACCTCAGAAACATCGGGAAATTTTATGTGTACCTCGTACTAATAGTAGTTACAGTATTAGTCAGCAGATGGCAGAGTAAGTACGTCTACTAATGCAATCTCCTGGCAGATTTAGCAGTACAACACTTTATAAATGGCGATATCAACTATGTTAAATAGTTAACATTGCGAGGGGGGGGGGGATTCGAGTAAGACAGGCCTTATTGCACTACAGCCAATAGCTGCTGCCAGTACTTTGATTAAGAAGACCAATATCGAAAATAAGTCTCGACCGGCTTAATTCATGACATCTCGTAGAGGGTTCAGAAGAACAATCGATAAGATAAAATTCAGGTTACGAAACGTGATAAAATGTCAAATACAATTTTTTCTTTTAATAGCTGACTGCCTCGAAGAGACATTTCGAACGTCTGCGCCAGCTGCACAGAGATGGGTTAATGTACACTCATGGCACTTGGCACAAATTCGAGTCCTGTCTGTATTTATATGGCGCCAAGAAGTGCATGCATCTCTTCAGGAGTGTCTAGAAAAAAGAGACATTTTCGTTGTCAGGTGCCAAACTTACATAGAGACGTAGTGCCAACGATCCTCGTTGAAAAGTTAATGAGATATCTGCTGCTGGACAGTTTTAAACAATTAAATTCGTGGGTTGAATCTGATTGTTTCGAGAGTGATACAAATGATACTAATTTTGTTTGTGAGTCGTTATTTAATAATTGTAATAACCTGTGTCTGCCAAAATCTGTTAGTATTATCGGTTCGCCACCCCCGAATTAAAGACTTTCTCAGTCGATTCCCACATGTCATCTAATGCTACGCTTTATATGCGACATTGGCATCATCTCAAGCAACCGGGGGAGGATGAAGGGCGGCGGATGTGGTTCTCCAGCACTTGTAATAACATCCGGAGATATAAATTCATGTGGCGAGGGAAATAAATGCATTAGTGGATTGATCTGTTAGAGTGGTCGTAGGTCTGTTAAGAGTTGTTAACGTTCTATTGGTTCTTTTTGCTTGTGTCTATTTCGGTTTGTTACGATAGATGTAGTAGTCTACATTAATGAAAAGCGCGTATGTATTTCTCCATGTCAAACCGTCTGTACTACACACTCTAATGCTATCCTGCAAATTGCAGAAATTAAGAGACTGCTTTAAGGCTGGGAATCTAAATCAAACAGCAAAGAGGCTTTCAGACAAAGCACCGCGAAGAGCGTATCTGTAAGGCTGAAGAAGGCAAATATGTAGTAGTGTCTTATGTAACTTAATTCAAATATTTCCAAAGTCGTCATGTTAGTAATTAGTAAATATGTTCCATAAGTTGATATAATTGCGTCATATTGTGAATTAAAATTTAATTATTCGTGGGTTTTTTTCCGTCTAATCACAATTGTATATAAATAAAATTATACATAAGATATTAAAATATCATTTACATATTTGGTACAACTTTTTACTATATGTTTCGGTTACATTGAACCATCTTCAGGTGTAAAGTTAAAAGTTAAAATTATAATCTTATAAACTAAAACTTAATTACTGTTGTTGTGTAACTTCTGATGATGTTTACTTCCAAATTCATTGGATTCCAATGGATTATAATTTTAACTTTTAACTTTACACCTGAAGATGGTTCAATGTAACCGAAAGATGTAGTAAAAAGTTGTACCAAATATGTAAATGATATTTTAATATCTTATGTATAATTTTATTTATATACAATTGTGATTAGACGGGAAAAAACACGAATAATTAAATATGTTCCAGTCGTCCATTTTTCAAAATTTTAGGCTATTTGTCTATTAAAGCGGGGCATCATTAATTGTGCAGACATAAAATAAACTATTCTTGCCACCTTCGTGCCTTTACTTATAAAAGAAAACTGTGTGCATATGGCACACAGTTTATGGAATTTATTCTTCCTCCAAATTTTACGTTGGTTATGTCATTAACGTTTTTAAACATTATATGTTCACTGACAGATAAAAAAAACGACTGAACTAGGAATAACCAACAACGGTGTGATTTATTAAAGAGCAGACGCGTTAGAATAATAGGTTTTTCATAAAAACGTATTTTATTTTTAGGTCCCTTATATGATGTATTGAGTTGTAACTATTTAGCTTTGGCATTCATGCGGTCACCGCTTTGGTATGGTTGTGGATATGGTTTGATAAACTATGGCGTGGAGAACCTCCAGTGGTTGGCCTTCCTACATATTTTCATTACAAGCGGGAATATCATTAAAAATTATTTGATAGGACATAGCCCACAAGAGGTCTTTTCAAACTAGAGCGCTGAAAGCTATTCCTGAACTTCAGCATCACATCCTGAAGGTTATTCAGCAGTGGATTTGTTTTGAAAATTTATAAGCGATTCTTAGAACATTTATTGCAATAAATAAACTGTTAGCGGTATTAATACAGGTTTAGTTCTTTTCTTTTTTTAAAGTTGCCATTTTCGTGTTACGCTGTTTGTTTCTAGTACATAATTGTCACGATAGATGGCGTTCGTAACAACATGGCGCGAATACATCCATCTGTGTTATTAGTACAAAAAACATGAATAAAACAGAAACAACAGGAAGCTCGTTTCTTCATTATATGCATGTCAGAAGAACCATTAAGTACTAATCTGCTGGTAAGTATTGATGTGAAAAGATATGTGACATTAATTTTACACGTGAGATAGTCCCGGTGTAAAGTTGGTTACGTGCAGGCCGGCAAAGAAAGGGGAGGTCGCAATTCCGAATACAGGTTAATACCAGTAAACATCTCATTGGGTGCATCAACATCAGTGATTAAAGTATCGGTCTGTGCCGGTTAAAAACTCCATCTTTGTGTGGCTCGATCTCTTATTACTTCTTACGTCATGTGTCAAAGTCGTACTCACGAGAGCTGTGATGCGTCACGTATGACCTATGGCTAATTTTACACAGCAACTTGCATCAGAAAGGATGTGTTCAAGCTTATGGGTGTGTCAAAGATCAAAGTCAAGATGCATTAATTCAACGTCATTCGTTTATTTTGGGTGTAGTTGTTAAATTTTAATGCAAATCGGATTGTAATGATGTAAGTGATGGCTTGCAGCTGGGAAGTCATGTGGACATGATATGATTCGTAGATGAGGCAGGTTTCTGTTCAGAGGATTGTCTGTTGTAATCAGCGGTGACTGTTCAAGAGCGTGACACCCATAAATTTCATACGTATGAGTAGCTTCTCAGCATATATATTATTTTATAAACACGGCTTTCCTGGACCAGAGTAGGGTGGTCCTATCACATCCCTAACCCGATGGCAGTTTGGCATTTCGTTACAATAGTTCAGCGACGAAGGTCAGTAGTTCTAAACTCGTCTGTGAACAGTACAGGACAGGGCTATTAAGCAGACCAGTCTTTGCATAACCTAAAAGAAATTGCTGTGTGTTTATTCCAAGCTCGGGTTCACTGCCTACTCTCCTGGATAGTGTCGTCTTGGTGGCCAAAATAAAGAGATTGTCGTCTGAGAAAGCTGGCGTGGGCATTGTCCTATTTATCACGACCCTTCTTCACGCTGTGTGTAATTTGTCAAGATCGCAGTTGGTGTCTATGTCCGAGAGACGGCGCAGGTGGGGGTCCGTCATACTTCTCGGCGAATCCACTGGCTTTCTCCAGGCCTTTGTAACACGCGTACCTCACCTGAGCATCACTTCTGAACGGTTTTCCGTACGTTAAATAAACCTATGCATTAAATTATTCATTTCGGAAATGTTTTTGTGCCGCGAGATTTCTGAATCACAAAGTATTAAGAAACATAACATAAGTCATTCTTTCTGCTGACTGCGGTTTTTCGTGGTTTCTCTCAGTCCCTCCAGACAAATTCTGGGATATAACCTTAAATTAGGCCACGACCGCTTCCTTCCACATCCTTTCAAGTTCATTTTTCTCTATATTCCCCTCGAAGCTATATAGTCTGAGCTACTGAAAAAGCGTTAATAGGCTACAAATAAATAAATGAATAAATAAATAAATAAACTTACATGCTGATTGGTGGAATAGTTTCTAGATATGAGGGAATATCACGCATTTGAAAGCAAAGTCCTAAGTAAACTGTTGGAACCTAAGACAAATGAACAAACGACTACATTTTAAAACGTAGTACTCGGTTTTTTGTGTAGCAGTAAACGATTTTGAGATCCTTCAGGTCGGAGAAGTGCAAATTTAAGAAGAAAGAAATACTTTTGCCTATTTAAATTTTTCGTAGTGTACAAAACGTGAAAATCAACTCTCTTTCCATACCGATGGACGAGTACTTATTGTTAAAATAAAAGTACGGTAGAACTTTTTCTTGGATAGGTCACGTGGGGGAGGGGGGCGATCCGAGGGCTAACGCATCGATAAATATGCAACGGCCTCATTTCTCATGAACCGTCTAGCGTTGAGGATAGTAAAATAGTGCATTAATTATTTGACTTCCAATTCCTGACCACTTCACGCGGAAATGAGATCTCTACTAATACGTGTCAATTACATTTTGTTTTAAAAGCTACTTTCGTCGCTAGACATCATCATAACACTGTTGCCAACAAAGTAACCGAAAAGTCACTAGGCAGTAAAACGTGGGTTTTTTCGTAAAGAAAATAAAGAGAAGCGTGCTTTTGATCTGTTAACAGTTGGCTCGTCATACCATGTGTGACAATATCTAAAATTAAAAGAGGGAATTTAATTAATTTTACTTTTGAATTCATTCCAAATTATTTTATATTTAATCACTTTATTTATTTCGGGTATCATTTGGTCCTTTATTTTTATTATTATATTATTTATTACTTCTTGTTATTTGTATCGTTTAACCAAGGAAATGCAGCTTGATAAAAAAAAAAGGACTCGCTGACTTTCTGTGGAAAACAGACAGCTGGATTTACCTTTGCCAAGATCGCAGTGACATAAATAGCATCTTAAACGGACGTTGAACTCAAATTCAAAAAAAGACGCGTGAAAGGAATGACAAACGTGGAATTCAGTTGAAAATTATTTGGAAATGGTTGGTTTTTAGTATC